CTCTTGGTTTTATGGTGGAGGAGTTTCATTCTCGAATTTAAAGCATGTTTAATTGTATTTTCAGTTTTAAACATTTCATTTATGTGTTTTAAGTTACATTTGAGTTAGTGGTGGTTATGATAGGGTTGTTTTGGAGGCTATAAATAGCCTAGCTTGTTCCCTTGGAAAAACATATTCGAGATTTGAGATTTGAGTTTTGAGATAATGAAATTTAAGCTTATTGAGCCATGAGCTTTTCCTTTGCATTTCTTGTATTTTAGAATTACATGCTAGAATCATTCAAGTAGCCTTGATCAAGCGAACTTGTGGAGTGATTCAAATCTTGAGTTTTGAAACAAGTTTTCTCTACTCTTGATCTTGATTATCAAGGTAAATTCATTCTAACTTCTTCTTTGAGTTGAAATCATCTCAATTTGGGGTTTTAGCATTTGTGATTTAGGGGTTTGCATAACCATAAGGGTTTTTAGATCCAATTGGTTATTGTTTTCTTATCAGCCTACTTCAAGACTCAAAACGAATGGTATTTCTCACAAAGACAGGGTATTCATCATTAAAAACAGTATGCTAACCTTCGACGATCTGTGAAGTCTTTTTCTCGCTCTTCAATCCTAGACACTCTAAGATCCTTTTTCAAACCTGCTCCGATTCTATTTCTCTATAACCTAAAAACTTCAACAAATAAGCCAAAAAGACAGCACACAATATCAACAGAACTTACACTTCATGACTTGAAGGAACTGCTCTGTTTTCAAGCCTCTCCTCTTGTACTTCTCTCTAGCATCAAGTCTCTAAAACGTGAACTAGAATATCTTTGACTTCCTGTATAATATCTTCTTCTTTGAATGGCATTACAAACTTGACTGCAATAACAAAAAACGAAAAAAGAGTTCATCAAATTAGGCATTGGGTTCTATATTTCATGGCATTGGTTCCTCGTACTCATAACATAACCTAAGAGCTTCACCCAACAACAAAGTAGTTTTTTTTTTTTTTTTGACAAAGT